CCTACTTGATAGGATTGTTACATTATCTTGGCCGCCTCAGGGTTCTCTTTGGCTGAGTGGAGAGGTAATGTGAATTCAAGCTTCAGGCTAGGTTCTATATGGGTGTGCTTTTTAGAATTTAGATACTGAGATATCCCCAACACAAACTGGGTAGTGTTTCTTTCTAAATTCTCTCTAAGCATGTATTCTCTTTCTTTCCCAGGCATGGTCACCACCTCACTTACATTGTGAGTTTATAATTTTATGAGTAGTAGAATTTCCTTAACCTTCTCTTCTGTGGGAGCTAACGGATAAGATGAGATGTTCTCTGAAGAGTGGTTACATCATGCAAAACTATGATGTATAATGAGGTCACTTAGTTTTCTAAGTACATTATTCATTTTGATAAAATTTTCTTTTTTTTTTTTGAGACGGAGTTTCGCTCTTGTTACCCAGGCTGGAGTGCAATGGCGCGATCTCGGCTCACCGCAACCTCCGCCTCCCGGGTTCAGGCAATTCTCCTGCCTCAGCCTCCTGAGTAGCTGGGATTACAGGCACGCACCACCATGCCCAGCTAATTTTTTTGTATTTTTAGTAGAGACGGGGTTTCACCATGTTGACCAGGAAGGTCTCGATCTCTTGACCTCGTGATCCACCCGCCTCGGCCTCCCAAAGTGCTGGGATTACAGGCTTGAGCCACCGCGCCCGGCTTTGATAAAATTTTCATAGAAAAACCTGTCTCCTTGGGGAGATCATTCATCTTCCATCTTGATTAGAATTTAAACTTCATGATTTATCTTTTTAAAAACTTAACCATAAAGCTCAATTAATATATTTTAAAAATTAATAGACTTTATTATTTTTTTTAAAAATTTTGCTTGCTTTATTTATTTATTTATTTTTGAGACAGAGTTTCACTCTTGTTACCCAGGCTGGAGTGCAATGGCGCAATCTCGGCTCACCGCAACCTCCACCTCCTGGGTTCAGGCAATTCTGCCTCAACCTCCTCAGTAGCTGGGATTACAGGCATGCGCCACCATGCCCAGCTGACGTTTTTGTATTTTTAGTAGAGATGGGGTTTCACCATGTTGACCAAGATGGTCTCGATCTCTTGACCTCGTGATCCACCCGCCTCGGCCTCCCAAAGTGCTGGGATTACAGGCTTGAGCCACCGCGCCCGGCATTTTGCTTTATTTTTGACACAATGTCTTGCTGTGTCACCCAGGCGAGTGCAGTGGTGTGATCTTGGCTCACTGCAACCTCCACCTCCCAGGTTCAAGTGATTTTCCTGCCTTAGCCTCCTGATTAGCTGGGACTACAGGCACATGCCATCATGCCCAGCTAATTTTTTGTTATTTTTAGTAGAGATAGAGTTTCACCCTGTTAGCCAGGATGGTCTCGATCTCCTGACCTTGTGATCCACCCACCCAGCCTGGAGTGAAGTGTTCCGATCTCAGCTCACTGCAACCTCTGCCTCCCAGGTTCAAGTGATTCTTCTGCCTCAGCCTTTGGAGTAGCTGGGACTATAGGTGTACACCACCACACCTGGCTAACATTTTGTATTGTTAGTAGAGACAGAGTTTCACATGTTGCTCAGGCTGGTCAGGCAATCTGCCTGCCTCGGCCTCCCAAAATGCTGATATTACAGGTGTGAGCCGCTACGCTTCGCCCAGATCTTTTGCACAGTTAAAAAAATATATATATATTGTCCGGCGCAGTGGCTCACACCTGTGATACTAGCACTTTGGGAGGCTGAATCGGATGTATCATGAGGTCAGGAGTTTAAGACCAGCCTAGCCAATATGGTGAAACCTTGTCTCTACTAAAAAATACAAAAAAATTAGCTGGGCATGGTGGTGTGTTCCTGTAGTCCCAGCTGTTTGGGAGGATGAGGCAGGAGAATCACTTGAACCCAGGAGGTGGTTGCAGTGAACCGAGATCGTGCCACTGCACTCTAGCCTGGGCAACAGAGCAAGACTTCATCTCAAAACAACCAAAAAACCAACACATGGCCAAGACACAGTGACTTACACCTGTATAATCCTGGGGTTTTGGTGGCTGAGGCAGGTGGATTGCTTGAGTTCAGGAATTTGAGACCAGCCTGGACAGCAGTGAGACATCGTCTCTAAAAAAAAAAAAAAAAAATTAGGCCGGGCGCGGTGGCTCAAGCCTGTAATCCCAGCACTTTGGGAGGCCGAGGCGGGTGGATCATAAGGTCAAGAGATCAAGACCATCCTGGTCAACGTGGTGAAACCCCGTCTCTACTAAAACTACAAAAAATTAGCTGGGCATGGTGGCGCGTGCCTGTAGTCCCAGCTACTCAGGAGGCTGAGGCAGGAGAATTGCCTGAACCCGGGAGGCGGAGGTTGCGGTGAGCCGAGATCGCGCCATTGCACTCCAGCCTGGGTAACAAGAGCGAAACCCCGTCCCAAAAAAAAAAAAAAAAAAAATTATTTTAATTAGCTGGGCTTGGCGGCATGCACCTGCAGTCCTAGCTACCCAGGAGGCTGAGATGGGAGGATCGCTTGAGCCCAGGAGTTTGATAGTTCAAGGTTATAGTGAGCCATGATCCTGCTACTGGACTCCAGCCTGGGCCACAGAGTGAGATCCTATCTTTTAGAAACAAAACAAAAAAAATGAAAATTAAAAACAACAACAGCAACAAAAATGCTGCTTGCTTTTTTTTTTTTTTGAGACGGAGTTTCACTCTTGTTGCCCAGGCTGGAGTGCAATGGCGCGATCTCGGCTCACCGCAACCTCCGCCTCCTGGGTTCAGGCAATTCTCCTGCCTCAGCCTCCTGAGTAGCTGGGATTACAGGCATGCGCCACCATGCTCAGCTGATTTTTTGTATTTTTAGTAGAGACAGGGTTTCACCATGTTGACCAGGATGGTCTCAATATCTTGACCTCGTGATCCACCCGCCTCGGCCTCCCAAAGCGCTGGGATTACAGGCGTGAGCCACCGCGCCCAGCCCAAATGCTGCTTTTTGTTACTGAGTTGTAGCCCAAATTTCTGGAGGGTAAAGCATTGAAAAGCAGGCAGTAGATTTGCTATTTAAAAAGATTTACTTGTAGCACTATTCACTATAGCAAAGACATGGAATCAACCTAAATGCCCATCAGTGCCCATCAGTGACAGATTGGATAAAGAAAATGTGGTACATACAGGCTGGCTAAGGTGGCTCATGCCTGTAATCCCAGCACTTTAGGAGGTTGAGGGGGGCAGATCACGAGGTTAGGAGATCGAGACCATCCTGGCCAACATGGTGAAACCCTGTCTCTACTAAAATATAAAAAATTAGCCGGGTGTGGTGGCAAGCCCCTGTAGTCCCAGCTACTCGGGAGCCTGAGGCAAGGGAATTGCTTGAACCTGGGAGGCAGAGCCACTGCACTCCAGTCTGCACTCTGGTGACAGAGCAAGACTCTGTCTCCAAAAAAAAGAAAAGAAAATGTGGTACATACACTGTGGAATACTATGCAGCCATAAAAAACAATGACATCGGCTGGACATGGTGGCTCACGCCTGTAATCCCAGCACTTTGGGAGGCCAAGGCAGGTGGGTCACGAGGTCAGGAGTTCGAGACCAGCCTGACCAAGATGGTGAAACCTCTCTCTACCAAAAATACAAAAATTAGCTGGGCGTGGTGGCACACGCCTGTAATCCCAGCTACTCAGGAGGCTGAGGCAGGAGAATTGCCTGAACCTGGGAGGCGGAGGTTGCAGTGAGCCAAGATCGTGCCACTGCACTCCAGCCTAGGCGACAGAGTGAGACTTTGTCTCAAAAAACTAAACAAAAAAAAATCAATGAGATCATGTTTTTGCAGGAACATGGATGGAGCCGGGGGCTATTATCCTTAGCAAACTAATGTAGGAACAGAAAACCAAATACCACATGTTCTCACTTATAAGTGGGAGCTAAATGATAAGAACTTAAGAACACGAAGAAGGAAACAACAGATACTGGGGTCTACTTGAGGGTGGAGAGTGGGAGGAGAGAGAGGAACAGAAAAGGTAACTATTGGGTATTAGGCTTAATACCTGGGTGATGAAATCTGTACGACAAACCCCTGTGACACGAGTTTACCTACATAACAAACCTGCACATGTAACTCCAAACCTAAAATAAAAGTTTAAAAAAAAGAAAAAAGGCAAGCAGATCACTTGAGGCCAAGAATTTGAGACTAGCCGGGCTAACATGGAGAAACCCTATCTCTGTTTTTAAAAAATTTTTAAAAATTTAAAAATTAGCCCGGTATGGTGGCACATGCCTGCAGTCCCAACTACCAGGGAGGCTGAGGCAGGAGAACTGCTTGAACCCCGGAGGCGGAGGTTGCAGTGAGCTGAGATTGCACCACTGCACTCCAGCCTGGGCAACAGAGTGAGACCCTGTCTCAAAAAAAAGAGAAAAAATAAAAGACCTGTCACTTTGGGAATATCTCAAACCTACTCATCCAAGTGGTTGTATGATTTTTAGTGTCTGTATATCAATATTTAGTATGATCTACTTTCTTAGATTCTCTAATGCTACCAATGGGCACATGTCGTGAAATAACCTGTTTTAGAGGATAACGATTTTAAAGTGTCATTATTGCAGTTTAAGGAAAACAATTCTATAACAGTTTAACTTTATAGAAAATGCCTTTTGCTTAATTTTTTTTTCTTTTAAGGCTTAGATTTTTATTTTTATGGTTTTTTTTTGTTGTTTTTTTGTTTTTTTTTTTTTGAGACGGAGTTTCGCTCTTGTTACCCAGGCTGGAGTGCAATGGCGCGATCTCGGCTCACCGCAACCTCCGTCTCCTGGGTTCAGGCAATTCTCCTGCCTCAACCTCCTGTGTCGCTGGGATTACAGGCATGCGCCACCATGCCCAGATAATGTTTTTTTTGTATTTTTAGTAGAGACGGGGTTTCACCATGTTGACCAGGATGGTCTCGATCTCTTGACCTCGTGATCCACCCACCTCGGCCTCCCAAAGTGCTGGGATTACAGGCTTGAGCCACCGCGCCCGGCCTATTTTTATGTTTTTAGAGATGGGGTCTTCCTATGTTGCCCAGGCTGGCCTTGAACTCCTGGACTCAAGTGGTCTTCCTGCTTCAGCCTCCTGAGTAGCTAGGATTACAGATGTGTACTAATGCTCCTGGCTAGAAGTTTAGATTTTAATTTAAACTCTTCTATTGGGAAACTTTGTATGTTGGCTTTCCACTTACGTTTGCATGCATTATTGTACCTTTTGTCTCCTGCTTAAGGAAGGGGCAGTTTATGCTTCTCTATGAAGTTGATTAGCCCACTGTGGTACTTCAGTTTTCTCTATGTTTTTTTTTTTTTTTTTTTTTTTTTT